AGCCGATCAGACCCGACCCGATTCGATCCGTCCCGAGCGATCTCTTTCTAATGTTCAGATAATAGGTGCCATTTTTTCCTCTTTATTCTAGCTTTCTCACCTCACCTTCGGTTATGAGTCTTTGGGTTTTAATTATTTTTCTTAAGGAAACTTTTTTGAGAAAAAGAAAGGCTTTATGCGTTGCTACACATACAATCTGGAGCTTATTTCAAAGTAACTATGACAGATACACAATGCTGTTGAACATTTGTGCAGGAAATCAGAAGAATAACGAAGCTGTCCATTGCCAATTTATATGCAGTCACATTCTAAAATGACTCATTGTGGGAAAACAATGCCAAGACAATTGCTGAATTTTCAGAAGAAAGCATACTTTGGGAGTATCCTCCCCGGAACAGACTGCAACAGCTACAAAAAAGCTTTGTCTTTGCGAACATTCAGTTACACAAATGTAAAAGGAAGTAGATATGAGAAAATGCCTCAGTTTTTTTTCCAAGAATCATAAAAATATTTAAGAGTAAAAGCAACATAGAGGAGAATAAATCAGCTCATGGAAGCATTTCTGAGTAATTTTTACTGGACAGACTAATTTTACACTGGACAGGCTGATACAGCAAGTGGTGAACAGGGAAACACTGCCCAAGTTAGAAACACGTGTGTTTCTTTAACTGAAAAACAGAATGAGCTTCTTAGGATGTCACCAACAGGCACTTCTAGAATCTAACTTTGGTTTCATTTAAATGGGATTCTTTTTGTTGTTAATCAGCAAGCATTATACAAACTAATTTTCACTTACTGTCAAATTCAATAGCACAAGAAACAACAAAGGATAGTTCTGCAGTAGGGGAGTGAGGACTTTTCCTGAGGGTCTTGAAAGGAAAAAAAGCAAACCAAAACAAACGTTTCAAATAGAGATGAATGTGCAAATTAAAACTTAAGAGGAAGATGAATTTATCTACTAGCAGGTAGTCAGTCTTTTGGATTTTGGCTTCTAGACAATTTGAAGCAATTCTTCAGGTTATTCTCTGTAAGTATAATCTAGCAATTTAATGATGCCTTGAAACAGACTGATTCGATTTCAGGAAAATACAGATATTCTGGATTTCCTAATTCACAATTGCTTACAAATACAAACCTGTTGGAAAAGAAGTCACATCTCAAAGTTATGAGCAACACTAAGTTGATTAGAAAATGTCTTGTAACTCTTGGTAAATTTTTCATGTGGGGCAGCAGATAAGTAAAACACATACCACGTCCCCAGATCAAGAGGTTTTAGTTTGAATCAGACTAGTAACAAACCAGATTGCTTCACTCCACCCACTAGTGTTCTGTCTGTCAGGATAAAATCATGCACATCTTACCCTGTGTGGTCACAGGGTTCAGTGGAATCAGTACCATCCTGAAGATGTGGTATTTGGAAATTACTTTCAAAGAGTTGGCCAGGAAAAGCCAAACGAAACCAAACCAAACCAAAAACAAACACCAAAGAAAAGGTAGGACAAACAAATTTGCGAAGCTACAATAAGACTTCTAGCATATTGTGAGATTTGAATAATTGTGAACTATTAGCTACAGTGTCTCATTTCTTAGAAAAGTTTTATTCCACTGTTAGCATCTTCACAGTACCAGTTTTCAGAAGTCAGTACTGAGTTGTAAAAGCATTACAGATTCATGGTACCTTTGTTGATAAAGACATTCCTCCTGTTTCCCTCTCCCACTGTCCACCCAGTGAAGTGCTCTCTTTGCACATACTTTGCCTTGGAAATGGCTTAGTGCTACAGTTTGTTCAAAAAAAAAGACTCAGTTAAAAGTCTTCTGTTTTTAGACCTACAGGTATTCTGCTTTGTCTCCTCCTTAGTATCTTCTCTGGTTCTTTCCCTCCAAATCCTGTGTTCTCTGCCTCTTTCCAAGGTAACTGACAGAGATTTTCTAATCTGTTTCTAGTCAGCCAGCTCCTACTCATACTCCTGCAATACTCCAACACCTATCTCCAAATAAGTAAAACCACAATACTTATTACTGCAACCAGTACTGCAAAAACAATTCTGCACTTTTACAGCTCTGTTGCATTCATTGACAGTTAACATGGTGCAAAAGAAATGTTTGAGCTCTGTCTTTTTAGCACAAGAGGAAAGGTTTATTACTAGGCAAGGTCTGAAGAATGACACGGGGCACTTTCCAAACCTAACAGGTAGGAAAATTCTTTTTTCACGGTAGTTGCATGTGTCAGTGTTCACATTTTGCAACTGAAACCCATGTAGGTGTGAACAGGATACAGGCCATAGAATAATAGAATGGTTTGGGACAGAGGGCACCGTTCAACATGTGAGTCTTACCCCCCGCCATGGGCAGGGATGTCTTTCACTAGATCAGGTTGCTCAAAGCCCTGTTCAGCCTGACCTTGAACATTTCCAGGGTCAGGGCATCCACAACCTACTGTTATCCACCAACTATTTCCAATCTATTTGCTTTTTAAATTCTACTCAGCTTTTCTTTCATTTAAGATCTACATATATAGTTGGGATATTTTTGTAGGTTCAGTCAAATATTGAAGGGGTTATAAAATTAGTATTTTCTCAGGTGTAAGAGAAGTTCCTTTGTAGCTGCAGTGTAACAAGAGCAGAGGTCTGTATTTAGGTGTATCCTCTCCTATTACATAAAATTGAAATGGGAAATCAGATTCATATTATGCTAAAACACACTAGAAGGAAAAGATTTGCTTATTAATAATTCCACAGTATTGCTGTACACCAGAGTAGCTAGGGAAAATGTGTCTCTCTCCTCATTTTCAGTCCATTGTCTGGATAGCATCTAAAGCAAAATCCAAAAAGTTTCCATGAGGAATTTGCATCGTAACAAAATCCAGTAAAGAAGCATAGAATTATTTTAAATTATTACTGCTTTTATTCATTGCTTAAGGTACACTGAGCAGCCTGACAGATTGGGAGTTTTCTGATGCTTCAAAGAAGTACTTTTATTTGCAGTTAATATAGATGTGAATTTTGTTAACAGCTGTTTTCACTTGAATTCTTCAGAAGCAACTTCTGCTTCATCTGGACAGGATGCACTGTCACCACTACTTTTATCTAAAATTAAATCTGTCAGGAGATGAATAGCTAAAAGTTACAACTCTGCTGAGTGCCTACCATAGGTAGTCAATAGGGCTTTACAGCATCAGTAATTTGTAGCATGAACATGGTAAAAGATTATCAGCACCTCACATTTTGCCCTTTCTGTTAAGAGATTGCCACCTACAGAAACATCAGAAGTATTAGCCATTACTCTCCTCTGAGAAGGGGCTGTTAATACAAGCCACACCATTCTAACTTGTAAGGTATCCTAGAAGGCAGTCTTAGAACAACTGAACCATGACAGTCAGTTGTGAAATTATTCATATAAGGAAAAAAAGTCAGCAATTATACCAGTACAAAACACAGTACACTAGTACACACAAAGCACTCTGCACATCTGACTGCGATATACACACAGAGATTTTATTGTTTCTAAAGCTCAGTGACAAATTATAGAGTGTTGCTATTGCATTGTATAGCAGTGTGACTCACAATGTATTCGGAAGAAAAATAACTAAATGCAGAATATTTCTTACCAAGTTTACAACTACATATATGGGAAAAAGTTGGAAATTCACAGGGATCTTCTCCCTTCTTCCCCTGCCTACAATTTGCCTGGGATAGGTGTTTCCTCACATGGATACATGTCCTGAACTACATGCTATTTTGTGTGCTAGACACAGAATAGCCTTTCTCAGGCTCATTTATAATCCAGTCTCTAGAATATTCATGTTCACAGTTTGATGGTGTACTTTACAGTAATTAATGTGTTGGCTCATTATCCTGCCTAGAGGGCAAGGGCCGAGCCTTCATTCACGGAGGCACAGGAATGTGATCAGCATCTATTGGTAAGAAGATACTATCTGAACAGAAAGAAAAAGAAGCATCCACTGAGCAGAAGAACCACTCTTGCTGAGCCTTAAAAGGAAACACAGGGCCAAGAAGGATGTACTGTGCACGTGAGGTACTGTGCTGGCATCGAGAGGTATGAGACAACCGAAATTGTGACGAAACTAAACCTTCTTTTCTCCTCCATGGGAACAGCTCTGTTGTAGGCTGCGATTCTGGCAAGGAGGACATGTAACAATTAAAAACTTACAGTAACTGTTGGCTGTTGGTGAGTTTTGTTTGTTCAGTTGGTTGGGTTTTTTAATGTCAAAGCACAGAATCACATTAGAAAGCACTTTTTTCCCCCTTAAAAGTGTGTAAATCCTGTCTTTTAGCCTTAGTAAGTAACTAAAGTTAGCAACTGAAAGTATGGAATTCTCCCAGTAACTTTTAGGAAATCAAGTGCATGGCATATAACAAAGCAGTTAGTTACAATATCATTCAGACCCTTTCAGAGAGCAAAATTACTTTGTCTTAACCAGAACAGTTTGAGGTTGTAGATGCTAAAATTATATTAGAATCCAGAGAAAAACAAAACAAGAATTTAAACCACTGGCATATCACTGCTACAGCTATAAACCTCCCTTGAAACCGGGAGAGAGGTGGAATATATTCCTGGAGAACAGTTAGCTCAGTAAAAATATGACACTAATAGCTAACTGATACACTGCTATATGTTCACCACTCCTCAAATGGTCTACTGACAGCTGCATAAACCTCTTCAGCTAACATGCTTATATTTAGTGGATGACAGTAATTGATGAGATGACTCTCCAGAGAGGTCCTTCAATTTCTTCTGCAGCTCTCTGTTGGTTTTCTTATAGAAAAATAAGTCTTTTTCCAGTTTCTGGACTTTTACTTCATACCCTTTCAAGGTTTCTGCAATACCTTCATGATCTTGTTCTAGGGGAAATAAAACCAGTCTAAGAACCAAATATCTATGTCACAAATCAAGATGCCCAACTAGACAGAGTGTTTCTTGTATCTTAATGGTACTTTGCTTGCAATGTGCACATTTTAGCTAGCATGATACAGGATCAAAAAGGCTATGCTAACTCTGCTTGTCAGGTTTTTTTTAGTATTTAGAAGATCAAGATCAGCAGGACCAGTATCTTCCAACTTTCTGATAGCAGTAAACTCAATATGAAAAGCACAAAATTTTGACAGGGCTTCAAAAAACATATTCAATACTCCGTTCAGTCAGACACCGTGTCTATTCCCCAGCAGCCTACATGGCATCAGAATTAGTGACAGCCAAAATAGATCTCTGAACCTTATTCTTTTTTCTCTCAGTTGTAACAGTATTTCTCTGTAGTGACTGAAGGCAACACTTGCTGTACAGTCCCTGACCAGGAAGCAAATACCTTTGAAATGATGCAGTATTAACTGTATTTTCTTGGCGTGCTCTTTGGAGGGTCAGCTGCCTGTCACAGTGCAGTCTGATGTGTTCAAGGGCCAATTCTAATTCATGTATCACGTTCTCCTGCTCTGTGGCCTTCACTTCCTGTTCCTCAATCTGCACAGACTCACACAGGCCAACAATCTGAGAAAGATGTATCAAACCATTTTAAGCAAAGCTTTTGCCCTTCAGCCCAATAGGTTAAAACACACAAAAGCAGTGATCTCTGCGAGCCATTGAGTTTATACTGGAAAGAGACTTGCCATTGCTACAACCTGACACCTTAGAACTGAACTGTTCACACTTTGATCACATCGACTAGTGGATTTTTTAATAGCCTGTGCAAAATTTAAACCGAAAACAACAGTGCTTTCCTGATTCTGAAAATCTCCCAACTTGCATCCCACAGATGACTTGCTTACAAAATCACCCAAGGTCACAAAAACACACCGCAAGAGGGCACAGACTCAAGCTCTGCCAGGGGAGGCTTAGGCTGGATATTAGGAAGAGATTTTTTATGAAGAGAGTAATCAGGTATTGGAATGGGCTGCCCGGGGAGGTGGTGGATTCACCATCCCTGGAGGATTTCAAAATGAGACTGGATGTGGCACTTAGTGCCATGGTCTAGTAACCATGGTAGAGTTGGATTCAATGATCTTTGAGGTCTCTTCAAACCCAGCTGAGTCTACGATTTTTGTGTTTCCAGATGTCAGTATGATTCTTCAGCATGTAGCTGTACATACCGCAGGCAGTGTATGCAAAACTAGTTCATACTGGATTTAGAAAAAATAATAGGAATACTAGCCTGAGCTTTATGAAGCTGAAAGCCTGCATTCAGGGAAAATTTTGATACACCACCACTACTTAAATTCATTGCTGCTCCAAAAGTTAGCAACACAGAGCACTGGAAAGGGGAAGGAAATTTCCAGATTTGCAGCACCCTTTAAGCTAACTACTCCAAAACAAAGTATACAATGTTAACACATAAATATCCTATTTAGGTTAACATAAAAATTAAATATATGTGAATTAATAGCAGATCTATGTAACCTGCAGAGATTTTCATCAAAAGCTTCTTAAATTTACTTCTTGCCACCATTTCATTGCCTAGAATAATAATATAAAATGGGA